TCTAATCTACTTAAATCGTTTGTGGACAATTTTTGATTGTTTCTTAAGGATTAGATTTACTATACATGCAGTCTGCACTCATAAATAAGTCCTAATTTAGCATCCACTGTTTTTTTTTTTTCCATTTATATATAAAAAAAGAAACATACCAAAAAAATGAGCCTGACTACAAATCTGTCTTGGTATTTTCCATTGTATAACCGATGAATAGAAATGACTTAAATACAAAGGTATTTCTTACATAATGGGAATTCCAGAAATAGTAGTCATGGACGATAACAATACAGATGTTTATTGTGGTGTCAAATAAAGGATATAATCATGATGTGACAAGTCATCCCTGCATGTGTTATTTCATACTGTACATCAATACACACAGCCTAGCGTATTCCATATACTGTATATCACTTAACATCTGCTGCTGTTTGAGTGAGTGGAAGTTGCCCCATCATGATTTTGCTGCTATAGTAGTGCTTGAAAGATATATTGATAACACTAAAATATTGGTCCTGGGTTTAACTCTGGCTAAAGGAGCCCGTAGACATGAGATGATAGTCTCCCCATTAGGTGTTTTATAGCCCTGATATAAAAAAAAAAAAATACAAAAAACAACTTGCTTGCTATCGTTTTCTTGCAGATGGGACTTTATGTAGCTCACCCTACGTCTTCAATTGCCTGAAATAGGAGTGGTTAAAATAGAATATTTCTGTTTAGGGAGAAACTGGCCCAGGAGACAATAGTATGCATGCACTTGTGACTGTTTTTTAAAATCTGTGGCCATCTTAAAGTGGTTGTAAAGACTCAAAAACCTTCTGTGTGCAGCCCCCCCCCCAATCCTTACCTGAACCCCCTTCGATCTAGAGATGTACACAATAGCCTCAGCTGTATGGGGACTCTACCTCCTCATTGGCTGAGACAGCAGCAAGAGCCCATTAGCTCTCGGTGCTGTCAATCACAGCCAGGGATGTGTGGCGGATGAAGTATCTGACATCAAAATGTTATTCATGTTTTTCTGCTACTCATGATGAGCTTTCACGCATAGATTTGGGCCTTGGGAACATGACTATCCTGCCATATGTGTTTGATGCTGCGTATTTACCTAGAGCTCTATCTGACCCTTTCTGGGTCAAGCAACAGGTGTGTTATACCCGCTCTCGTCCGCTGTGGAAGGTGAATCCATTTTGGTTGACACGGTTTACGAAGTCAAAGTTGATTTCGGGGGAGTTGTCAGACTTTCTGCAGTGGAATGAAGGCTTGTCCCCGCCAGGAATGGTTTTGGATGCGATGAAGGCCTTCCTGCGGGGCTTGATTATCCGGGAGATTTCAGTGGTTAAGCATAGATCCAGGGAGTGGGAGGAAAAGGTATGGTTAGATGTTCAACAGCGGGAAATTCAGATGATCGAAGTCCCAAGCCCCTGTAACCGCACCTCCTGGAATGAGGCCCAAGCCCTTTATGAATCAGTGCTTACTCAAGTGGCAGATAAGAAGCGATATTTTTTGCAACAAAAAATTTTGAGGAAGGGGAAAGTACGGGGCACCTTCTTGCTCTTGTGGTGAAGTCACAATAAGGGGTGTCCACTGTAGACAAGATTGAGGATACGGCTGGAGTGATCTGAACGAGTCATGTGGAAATCCTGAGAGTTTTTCATCACTTTTATGATGATCTGTATGCTTCTAAAACTATAACTACCCATTCTGAGCTTTTGCAGTTTCTATATACCTGCTCTTTTCTTGTTTTATCGGAGACTGACCAGAGAGAACTGGAGATGCCAGTTACTGTTGAGGAGTTATCGGAAGCTTTGGCAGACACCCCCAGTAATAGATCTCCAGATTCAGACAGCTTGCCATTCGAAATCTATAATAGATACAGTGCGCAAGTCCTCCCGGCATTACTCTATGCCCTGAATGCCGCCATGGATAGAAATGGTTTGCCCCCCTCCATGTATGAAGCTGTTATTATAGTATTATTGAAGCCTGGAAAAGATCAATTAAAACCTGACTCCTACTGACCTATTTCCCTTCTGAATACAGATGCTAAATTGTTGGCACAGGTTCTAGCTACTAGACTGGCGTGGGTTATTGGTAATATTGTAAATAAAGATCAGTTGGGGTTTATTCCTTCTAGAGCGATGGCTAATAATATTCATAGACTTTTTTTGAATTTGCAAATTCCGGTAGACAATCCTGGGAGGAGGGCAATTTTGTCTTTGGATGTGGCCAAGGCATTTGATAGTGTGGAATGGCCTTATCTATGGGAAGTATTATCTAGTTTCGGCTTTGGCCCATGTTCATTAGATGGGTGCGCCTTCTCTATGCGGCCCCCAGTGCCTGTATCCAGGTTAACGGGGATTTGTCAGATTCATTCAGGCTGCAGAGGGAAACGAGGCAGGGTTGTCCTCTCTTGACCCTTTTATTTGCTTTGGCGTTAGAACCTTTAGCGATTTTGGTGCGATGATCTCTGGACATCATCGTTTTTTACAAGGGGTGTTTTTTTGGAAAAGATATCCCTTTATGCGGATGACACACTGTTATATTTGGGCGATACTTCCACATCCTTAGCTGCTGTTATGTCCCTTATTGAACACTTTGGTGGATTTTCCGGCTTTAAAATTAATTGGCATAAATCTGCGTTAATGCCCGTGGATCCTGTACAACTCCCCCTCCCGGCCTGTGCACAACGCATCCTAGTAGTGTCTACATTTAAGTATTTGGGGGTGGTAGTCTCTCCTGATCCTAGGCAGTATATTTCTCTTAACCTTTTACCTCTACTCCATCAGCAGAAATTGAAGTGTAACAGTTGGTAAGCTGATATAAACTCCCTCTGTCGGTGGTTTGTAGGGTCAATTTAATTAAAATGATTTGGGCACCGCAACTTCTTTATATTTTTCATAATTCTCCCATATGGATTCCTAAGAGCTGGTTTCATCGCATAGAGACCCGGTTTAGGAGTCTTATTTGGAAAAAACAAGTGGTTAGGATAAAATTGTCTACGTTGAGATATGGAAAAGAGTCGGGGGGGGGGTGGGGGGGAGGGGGGTTGGCGGTTCCTGAGCCCAGACTTTATTTTCTGGCGGCCCATTTGCAGCAACTGGTTGGGCTGGGATTCACCTGATAATACTAATCCCATTATTAGTTTGATTTCCCTTCCTGACCCCACCATTTCGTCTTTCTCATCTTGGAATGGCTCTACTGATCCTTCCATCCACGGCTCCAACAGCGGACTCTTGAGGCGAGTCTTGAGTATGGTAAAAGCGCCCTTTCATATTACCGGCTTTCTTTCCTGTACTCCCTTGTGGAATAATCCGCAATATGTAAAACTGGCTAAACTGGAGGTTTTTCACGTTTGGAGGGATCGAGGCCTGAAATTTTTTATATCAGCTGTATTCGGGGGCAATCCTAAAGTCCTTTTCTCAACTGCAAATGGAATTTACATTTACACATAAGCATTTTTGTCGTTATCTTCAGCTACGCCATGTGATACAGGTTCAGTCTTCGCTCTCTAATCTCACATTGACAGACTCAGTTTTTCTTAAGGATGTCACTCAGGCAACCCATAAGAAGGGCATGATTTCTTGGGTATACTCCCAGCTATTGCCTACAGTACAGGATCAAGCTAGTCTCCGGAGCAGGGTGCAGTGATCCTGGGATATTGGAGAGTTTGCTTGAGATGTCTGGGATGCTGCCCTGGAATCTGTTCCGGGAATTTCTCTTTCTCCCTCACATATATTGTCCCAATTGTTTATTCATCTTCGAGCGTATAGGACCTCTGTGCAACTGTATCGGTGGGGCAGGTGGGATTCACCTGCTCTGGCGTTGCCCCAAGCTACATAGATATTGGAGTGAGTTTCTCCAACTTATTTCTCTAGCATCGCAATATACTGTTCCCCAGGATCCCTTGCATTGTCTGTTGGGTGCACTGGACCAAGAACTGTTCCAACCAGGAGGGTATATTATGATATCTAGACTTTTATATCTGGCTAGGAAGTTGATAGCAAGGTACTGTTATCGCCTCCGACTAGTAAGCAATGGATAGATTATGTTAATTATTTATTCCCATTGGAGAAACTCGTGTACCAACATTGCAATGCTTGTCATAAGTTCAAGCAGGTATGGCACGGTTGGCTGGATACACCTGGGCTTGCCCCTTCTCAATTGATAGTGGACCGACTTCTGCAGATGTAATATTTTATATCAGGTGTGTGGCTCCACTCCTTCCCCCTGGGGGAGTTCATGTGCATCGCCCATTCTTTTTGATGAGATGTCTTGGGTGAACCAGAGGTTGTTGTTGATGTGTTTTTTTTTTTTGTTATTGTTTGAAGACATGTTTTGGGCTTTGTTCCTTTCCCCCATTTCTGTTTACATCTGGTCGGGAAGGAATAAGACGTAAAAAGAAAAAGCAAGATATTGTCAAGAAAGTTTTGGATCCTTGTGGTCTCTGTTTTGTTTGATTACCATTTCTGTTATTCTGTTTACTACGGGATCTACGTATCCATGTTCTATTTATGTTATATTATGCTGTTGCAGTAATGTCATTGTGGATTATGTAAGTACTATTCCATTTTATCTATTATCTTGACAATAAAAGTTGTTTGGATTAAAAAAAAAATATTTCATTTCTGAGGTTTACAACCATTTTAAAGCAGTAGCTGTATTGGTATTAGTCCATTGGAATTTGTATGGATTTCCATAAGTACTTTGGTTTCAACCTCAATAGTTTGAGAGGAAATGAGTGCGCTGAGTGAGAGTATGGCTACTCATAGATAGGCAAATTTTGGAAAGAATGGTCAAATAATCAATGAGCAGGAACTTGGCAGCATATTAGTTACACAATGATTAGGAATAACAGATCTTGTTCAAACTTGCATTCAGTTTGTTGAAAAAGTCGATCTTTACAGACAATCCTTTTCGAGAAATGTTTGTCTAAAGGATATATAGTTTTCAGAGTGCAAACATTTGGAAATAATACCCAATTACTTGATAATCACGAGTCAAAAGAACACGGTAATACGTTTCTACTGCTCATGGCCACCTGTGTGAGTGTGCTGGTATGTGTGTTTATTTGGCCATCTTCTATGTTGCACAGAACATTAACTACAATGTTATTTTTCAGGATTGAAGAGGAGGAATGGGACAGATACATGACTCCTACAAAACCTGAAGCGGAGAAAAACAAAGTGAGCCGGACTTTCAGCTTCCTGAGGAGCAGGATGAGCAGTACGAGGAATAAAACCAAGGTGAACATTGCCCTCTGCTGTTAATGTTAGTTAGGTCATAAGTGCAAAGAAGTCTTCTAAGCAAACGTGACTTTTTGACACTTCTATACAAACTTTCATGTAAATAAATGCCTCACCCATTTGATTTTAATGCAGTATGCAGTGAACCCCACTCAGTCTTGATGTAGCCTACTATAACTCACCAACATAGAATTTGTTTTCCCCTTTATTAAATATTTTTTCATCCATGATTTTGCTAGTGACCTCACAGGCAATTGGCTTCCCTTTCAGACTTGTCCCGGTATGTGTCAGTACAGCCAAAGTACAAGAAAATAATAGAGCGCTTAGAAATTTTATTGTTTTTAGAGTTAACTGATACACATGGATTGAGGGAGAGGTACAGAAACAGTACCACACTGGAAGCTGAGCCTGTATACGTAATGGACAATATGACTGCCCCCATGTACATATTTATTTATTACAGGTACTTATATAGCACTGTCAATTTATGCAGCGCTTTACATACAGTATATATTGTGCATTCACATCAGTCCCAGCCCTTAAGGAGCTTACAATCTAAGGTCCCTAACTCGCATACAAATACATACTAGGGCCAATTTAGACATTTGGACTGTGGGGGGAAATTGGAGTATCCAGAAGAAACCCCCCGCAGGCATAGGGAAAACATGCAAACTCCAGGTAAGTAGTGTCGTGGTTGTGATTTGAACTGATGACCATAGTACTGCTAGGCGGAAGGGCTAACCTCTTATATCATTGCAGACTGTACTGTACACAATAATAATGCTTAAAAACATTGGTCTCTAACCTGTGGCCCGGGGGCCGGATGTGGCCCTTTGCTTGCTTTTATCAGGCTCTTGGGGCACTATTCCTCCCATTGACATCAACAAATGGGCGTAATTCCTGTCACTGATACCAACAATAAGGCACTATTCTTACCACTGACCCCAACAATGGGGCACTATTCTTCCCACTGACACCAATGTTAGAGCAATATTCTTCCTACTGACACCAATGATGGGGCACTATTCCTTCTCCTGATACCAACAATGGAGCAATATAGCTCCCCTAATACCAATGATGGGGCATTGTCTACTCCAGTTGATGCCAGGGCTTTTTCTACTCTCACTAGCCACAGTTCTCCCCCCCTCCCCCCAAAAGTCTTAGGGACAGTACACTGGCTCTTTTGTTTAAAAACTTTGGGGACCCCTTCTTTAAAACACTGACATGTTCTGAGAAGACTATGTATATTAAACTGCTCTATGTGAAGAGCTAAGAAAATGATAAATGGACTGTAGATTCACTTTAAAGATGGCCCTACTTGTGGAATTTGTGCCCAGAAAAGGCACACATAGGGTCACCAGTACTGCCTGTGGGCCCCTGGCAGTCTATCCTTTCCCCATTACTGACTTATCTTTACCATGTTCCACTCTGTGTTTCTGTGTGGAGGTGGCCATCTTGGTATAGGAGCAGGGCTTTGCTTCCTTATGTCAGAGCTGACAGACAACTCTAATTTGCAATTAGATGTAGGAGACCCAGCAATCGTGATTAGTTGTGGGTAGGAAGCCTTATTGAAAGCAATGGGAGGCTGATAGCTCTCATAGCTATTTGTGGCCACCCTCGTGTCCTCGCCTGATAATGCAATTACTTGTGAATTATCGGCTCGTCCAGGGCCAATCAATTGCAGGTAATCACTCCATGAGCTTCCTGGTAATCACACCTGTCAGACTTATATTGCTTTCAAAGGGGTGCATGCGGACAGCTAATTGCCAGGAACCCCCTCTGGGTCTCCTGCATCTAACTGCAAACGGCCCCATTCACAAGTGTGAATGGGACCTAAATGTATGGTTTATCGAGACATAATGGGTTATTTGTCTAAATTATGTTGATTTGTAGACTGTCATCTAATTGTTATTTTCCTTTTATTTTTCTGTGTAAGATATTAAATGTTACATTTGGTCATAACATTATACAGGGAAATGATATTAAAAGTAACAGTAATATAAGTCTTAAGAGAAATGAATTTAATTATTGTCTATCATTACAAGCATTAGAAGATAATAACATTACAGTTAATGTGATATGACTCTGTAACACAATTATCCTGTGATGGTTAGTATTATATATGTAATATAGAGTATAACATACATTATTTATATAGTGGTTTCATCTTCTGTAGCACTCTTCAAGGTAAGGACTGAAACTACAAAATAAGGCCTGAAACATACCTTTGTTATGCAGTGCATTGCTGTAACACATGCTTTAACACTCATTACATGCATTGTGGTGCCATTTCTTCTGAATGATGCCTCAAAGTGCTAAGGCTATGCATATGTGTTTCAGCACACTATGATGCATAGCAATGCACTATGGTGTGTGTTGTAGTGCACTGTGTCTGATAAACTGCTGATGTTCGTTTTATTGTACTGTTTTGCTGTGGTTAACGAACGCTCTCTGGTCTGTCTTTTTCTTGTGTCTTTCATATGTCATATTCTCTTGAAGACCAAAACAAAAGATACAAAAGAGAAGGTGAATCGTCACCAGTTTGTACTGGGTACATTCTCTGGTGTAGTTCCATGTTTGGTATGTGAGAAAGCCCTCCTGGGGAAAGAGTCATTTCAGTGTTCCAGTAAGTACCTGTTCACAAGATATTGCACATTTAATCATGGGGCCTAATGGACCTCAAAAATACTATTCAGTGCTCAAAGGTAATATTTAGTTAAATGTGGACACTGCATGGTTGTATTGTTCAGTGGCATCTAAAGTTGTGTCCATAGATGTGAAATGTGAGAAGTCTCCATTCCAGACATACTATATACTAAAGGCTTTGCTTTTTCTTGAAGTTGAGGGTTGTCTTGCATGATAGATGTAGTGGGTGCAGGCTGCCATGCTTAGGGGCCATTACGCTCAGGGGTCTTTCCTCAGTCTTTGGGTTGAGAGGTACTGGGAGCCATTCAGCCTTTCAACCTGGAAGACTGAGGACATCTTGTAGTGCAAAAGAGGTACTGTAGGGAACAGCTCTGGATCAAAGGTAAAGCCTAGTACAGACCATTAGAAAATCATATGAAAGGAGGCATGTCCAAGATGGCGACCATAGCGGCCGCATAAACGGGAGCTCTGCTGCCTCGGAAATCCCATCCGCTGACATCCTGGGGGTAGCGAGCTCCTGTCTGCACTGAAGGGAGTTTTTAGTTCTTTTTCTCTGTTGCAAGGTAAATTTGATATCTCCTGTGGTCCAGTCTCTGTATGGTATCAAACTTCTAAACTGGTGCATTTCTTACAGTTCTGTGTTTTCTTCCTGGGATGTAGCCTGGGTGGTCGCAATTTTGTTATCAAACACATATTTTATGGTGCCTCTGGATCTGAAATGTATCTCCTGGAACATGTGGGGCCTCAACTCCCCCATGAAACATTCCTTGGTTTTCCAATTTCTCAAATCCTATCATCCACATATTTGTATTTTGCAAGAAACCCACTTGATGGGCCGTAGGGTAATGGACCTAAAGAGAGCTTGGGTCGGTCACTATTACAATGCCACGTACTCTTCCTATGCCTGCAGAGTTAGTGTCCTTATTCACAAATCATTACCATTCACTCTACTCCATCTCAGGCTGGATCCCGAGGGTAAATACGTTATGATTCATGTGATGATCAACTGCTTTGAAATGGTAATTGTTGGCCTCTATCTTCCGCCTCCTGGCTCCGCGTGCTAGTTGGCTGCTTTGGCCTCGCTCCTGGCCTCAAATGCCACACCCCATGTTCTTGCTGGCGATTTCAACCTATATTGACAAACTATATCCTGAAGCCAGTGGGGAGTTGGCCAAGTGGGCAGGGCTTTATCGGTTCACGGACGCGTGGAGTTGAAAAATCCTGAGACCAAGGCCTATACCTGCCACTTGGCAACACATAGAACGATGTCTAGAATTGATCTTTGTTGTGTTACACCTCCACTCTTAGCAAGGGTTTGGGAGATTTCCATCCTTCAAAGAGGTATTTCTGATCACGCTCCACTTCTTCTCAGCTTGAGTATTTCTGATGCTCCGGGGGAAAAAGCTGGAGATTGTCTCGATGTTGGATTACTGACCCTGAGGTAGAACCCACAATGGGGAAGGCACTGGAGCAGTACTGGGACTTTAATGAGGGTACTGCTGCGCCTACTACTACTTGGGAGGCTTGTAAGGCTACCCTTAGAGGACAGTATTGAACCCGGCCACATCCCAACTCTTCCACATAACCTCTTCTTTTGCACTGCACAGTGCATACAGTCCTCCACTCACTCTGATGGGAACACTCTTGACCTTGTCTTCTCTCACCTTTGCACTCCCTGCAACCTCACAAATGCCCCCTTTCTTCTCTGACCACAACCTCATTACCTTCTCCGTCTCCTCATCCTCAAACACCTATCCCTCCAAACGGCAAACAGTTACCAGCAGAAACCTCCGGAACTGGAACCCTGCTCCCTTCCACTCTGCAACTGACCAACTTTATGACCGCATCCATCCCCTGTCATGCCCTGATCTGGCCACTACTGCCTACAACAACTCTCTTTCAGCCGCTCTAGACTCGCTCGCACCCCCAACAACACAAAGCAATAGGCCACGACCGCTACAACCCTGGCAGACCAACCATACCAGAAACCTCCAACGACATAGTCGTGCGCTGGAGCGACTATGGCGTAAAACCAAATCCCAACAAGCGTTCACCCGCTGTAAATCTGCCTTCTTAACGTACACTTCCAACCTTCACACTGCCAAACAAGCCTACTTTATTCCCCTCATTAATACCTTCTCCTCCAGTCCTCGCCGTCTCTTCACGACTTTTAACTCTCTACTTTCTCCACCTCCACCCAGTACCTCACTTACTGCCCACCAGATTGCTAACCACTTCAAAAACAAGATTAACGCAATTCGTAGGGACTTCGCCACTGCTCAGACACCCACTCCTCATACAATAACCCCCTCAACACTTTTCTCCCTTGACCTCACTACTACCGAAGAGGTCACTAAGATTTTTCTCTGAAGTCCGCCTCACCACCTGCCCCCTGGACCCTGTCCCCTCACAATTCCTGCGGTCCCCCTCCTCTTCCATCCTATGCTCCCTCACCCACATTTTCAATCTTTCCCTCTCCACGGGTACCTTCCCCTCCCATCTAAAGCATGCTCACATCACTTCCATACTTAAGAAACCCTCCCTGGACCCCACAAACCTGAACAACTTAAGACCCATCTCCCTACTGCCATTTACCTCTAAACTCCTAGAATTCTTAGTCTACAATGACCTGAGCTCCCATCTCACCGACAACAACCTTCTCGACCCTTTACAGTCCGGCTTCCGCCCCCTACACTCCACCGAAACTGCCCTACTCAAACTCACCAATGACCTACTAACCACCAAAACCAATGGCCACTATACTATACTCCTATTACTTGACCTCTCTGCGGCTTTTGACACGGTTGACCACCCCCTCCTCCTCAAAAAACTGTACTCTTTTGGCCTCAGAGACTCCGCTCTCTCCTGGTTCTCCTCTTATCTATTGCATCGCTCCTTCAGTGTTACCTATAATGCTGCCACCTCCCCTTCACTCCCTCTCTCTGTTGGGGTCCCTCGAGGTTCTGTCCTTGGACCCATTCTCATCTCCATCTACACCTCCTCCCTTGGTCATTTGATAAACTCCCACGGCTTCAACTACCATCCCTATGCCGATGACACACAAATCTATCTCTCTACCCCTCACCTCACCCCCTCAGTCTCCAATTGCATCACCAGCCTACTAAGTGACATATCGGACTGGATGTCACTCCACTTCCTCAAACTCAACCTTTCCAAAACTGAGCTCCTAGGTTTCCCCCCCAGCCCGTGCCCCCCCTCCCCCTGACTTCTCCATCAAGATCAACAACACTATCATCAGTCCCACCCCTCACACCAGGGTTCTAGACGTAATCCTAGACTCCAATCTGTCCTTTCAGCCCCAGGTCCAATCGCTAACAAACTTATGTAGACTTCACCTCCGCAACATCTCCAAGATACGACCATTCCTAACCTCTGAAACCACTAAGCAACATATTCACTCCCTTATTATATCACGCCTTGACTACTGTAACTCCCTCCTCACTGGCCTACCTCATCGCAGGCTATCTCCACTCCAGTCCATCATGAATGCTGCTGCCAGACTCATTCACCTTACTAACCCCTGTATCTGCCACCCCTCTCTGCCAATCCCTCCACTGGCTTTCAATTGCCCAGTGGATAAAATTCAAAACACTAACACTGACGTATAAAGCCGTTCATAACACTGCCCCTAATTACATCACCGACCTTGTCTCTAAATACCACCCAAACCATACTCTCTGCTCCTCGCAAGACCTCCTACTCTCTAGCTCCTTTGTCTCCTCCTCCCATGCTCATCTCCAGGATTTCTCAAGGGCTTCACCCATCCTCTGGAACTCCCTACCCCAGTCTATCAGGCTATCGCCTACTCTGCTCACTTTTAGGCGCACTCTGAAAACCCATCTCTTCAGGGAAGCATACCCTGACCCCAGCTAATATTGGAACCCTCTACTCTTCCTACCACTCCATCCCCCACAGATAATTACCTCTTGTACCACTATCCCTTCCCTCCTAGATTGTAAGCTCCAAGGAGCAGGGCCCTCTAATCCCTCTTGTATTGAACTGTATTGTTACTGTACTGTCTCCCTCCATTATGTAAAGCGCTGAGCAAACTGTCGGTGCTATATAAGTCCTGTATAATAATAATAATAATTGGGGGGGGGGGGTTACAGGTCAGACGAGGGGCGGAGGTAGGCTTGGTGGACCGGATAGTGCAGGAAGCTGAATCCAACTATGTGCTCAATCTGGATCGTGTTAATCACCACAACTTACAAAACTGGCTGTTAGAGAAGCTTTCTTATTATGCACGGAGGCCTCCAGGAAGGCTCTGCTCTATCAAAAACAGCGTATCTTTGAACAGGGTGATAAAGCGGGAAGCCTATTGGCTTGGCTGGCTAGGAAACAAACTGCTTTGACTAATATCGCCCTTATACAGGCTGAGGATGGCTCTAGGATCCTTGATCCAGTCTTAATCAACCGTCGTTTTGCCGACTACTATGCAAACTTATATTCTTCCAAAGTGGCCTACATACCTCAGGATTTGTTCCATTATCTGGATCGTGTTGAACTGCCGTCTCTCTCCCCATCTCAGAGGGGACGCTTGGAGGCTCCGATTTCCTTGGAGGAGATCCAGCAGGAGATTGGTGCTCTCCAATCTGGCAAAACCTTGGGTCCGGATGGCTTTCCAATTGAGTTCTATAAAATATATATTGAACAGCTGGTTCCCCGATTCCAAACACTTCTTTAATGCACTACTTGAGACAGAAACCTTGCCCTCTTCTATGCTCCAATTGGTGATAGTGGTGATTTTAAAGCCTGGGAAGGACCCGACCCACTGCTCTTCTTATCGGCCGATCTCCCTGTTGAACACTGATGCAAAAATACTCGCTAAGGTGCTTGCTGGGAGACTGCGCTCGGTTATCTCTACGTTAGTACACCATGACCAGATGGACTTTATGCCGAGTAAGGGCACTGACATCACCATACGGAGACTACTCACCCACATTTCTATGGCTCGAGACA